TGAAATACCAGTGTTATGATGTTTATTATATAGCATCTTATACTTAGGAGACCCAGAAATTATGTAACAAAACCAAGTGAAGGTCCGAAACAAAGATGTTTGATGAAATATCAGATATATAAGCAAAAGTGTTACTGTCAGAGGAAATGTGTTACTCACTGCCTAACAAAAGTGTGACTGTCAGAGGAGGTTAGGTGAATCGCACGTCCTCTGCAACAAGCCTGAGTCAGCAGTGTCTGTACTGAGGTCTGACACAAGCGTCTTTTCCAAAGTCACCTAACGCTCTCAGGCCAAGCGCTTCTAATAATACTCCTCCTCCTCCTTCGAAAAGATTCATGGTGTCTTACACAACATTACACCTATCATGAAAAAAGCAAAAATACAACAGTCAAATGCTGTATGTCCTCTCCCAATCTCTGTGTTGATATAATTTCCTCCATAGAGTCTGAATCTCTTCTGCCATTTGAATGATCATGCCCGTTGCATGTATACCAGGATGTTTCCATAATGAATCCCTGAATTACAGAAAAGCTTATTTTCAAGTTTTACAAAGAATGAACTTCCATTACTGATGTTTTCATTGGTGAGCGGAAGGCTGACTAAAATAAGGCTCCACTGGAGCTTACGCTGAAACATTTTTAGTCTGCTTTAATCTTTTCAAGTTTGAAAGTCTAGGCAAAAACGGAGAAGAACTGAGGTGAAATGCAATGAACTAGCTTACAAATGAGCTGGAGCAAAACGAAGGGGGTGAGTGTGACCTGAAAGTTGAGGATGTCTCCATACAGACTGCGCGTTCAGCTTTAGGCATTGAGTGACCTATGGTCCATCTGTACCACAGATGTTTAAGGGAGGGGAACTTCATCGCCAGGTAAAAGATCCAAGAGGACGATACACAGGCTCACTCTGCCACATGCCTGCTCTCGACAATATTTCCAGCCCAATGTCCGATCCTGAGTATTTTTCAAAAAATGCAATATAACCCTAGCTGATTGAAAATGTACTAAAGCTCAAGGAAATTCCTGCACGCCAGCGTGCTGGTGATGATACACAACAGCGCAACATCAAAGTACAGTATTGGTTATTCACCTGTGGCCTCATTCAAAGTAAGAAGGAAGCGTTTGTGGCTTTTGAGGCAGACGTGATGTAGAGTTCCAGTCCTCCTCAAAAAATCCACTGTCTTCAATATGGGTCAAGAAGTCATTGTCGAGAAGATTCAACCGCTGTGGTTTCTTAATGAATTAGGGAAACTCCATGTAATTACACTTCAAAAGTTTATCAGTGAGGTCAGTGATAGGATAGACATTTAACTCTTGGGGCGACACTGGTGAGAAAATACAATCTGTGAACAATTTCAAAAATATTTTTGGAATTAATTATAGTTAAAAAACAATGCAGAAGGCACTTTATAGAAGTTCAGAGGTCTTTGGTAGTTTTTAATTAAAATAAAAGCATAGTGGGTATGTTTTCTTGTAAGAATTCTGTATTTTAAACAGTTACTAGCCTTAAACATAAAAAATATCATTAAACTTAAAAAATGTCATAAAATTAAAAAAGAAAATAACTTTCCCCCCCTTTCCACTCTTTTCCCCCCCACCTTCCCACCTGAGCTTGGAGAGGTCTTTTGGGGGGTTTGTTTTTGTTTGTTTGTTTTCAAGAGAACATTATTTTATAAAGAAAAGCTTGGTACTATCATGTATCATAAGACATCAGTAGTTCAGACTCAAAGAGAAATTCCTAAATTACCAGTTCCCATAGCACTTCCTAGAATACTTGATCTTAACATAGGAAAGCATTAGTGAGAAGGGCTGCTCTTTTAAGACACCTTCTTCAGATGCTTTTTTCCCACTTTATTCTTTCTCCCCAAAGTAAGACCCACCAGTGATGGTTTCAGCCAGTGTACCACATTTTAAATTAAATGCAGCTTTCCTTCCACTGATCTCTTCTGCCAGCCCTACAATTCAGAGCAGCCTGTTTGGGAGGGGTGTCTAAGCAAGCAATTTCCCTGAAGTTCACCCTCAGTGCTGGCTCAGGAGCTTATTTTTCAGAAGTCTATTGTATTTCCTCCTCAAACAAGAAGAAAGAGAAATTCTTCCTCAACTGTAGCAGAAAACCTTCAAATTCCTTCCTCGCTCTCCGGACATCCCCTGAGGACTGGAGGAAGACCCAGTGGCAGCGCAATTTTTTAGCCCCATCTTTCCATAGCATGTAATGCTGGATGTGTATCTGTCTCCCATCCAGGGCATGGTGAGCTAGTCAAAAGTGGTGATAGCGATGACTAGTGACATCCTTGTTCAATGCAATCTCATAGCAGAAATAGCAGACCCTGGAACAGGAAGCATATGTCCCCTTCCAAAGACATTCTTTTGACATATTACAGGGAATAACTGCAGCCACAACTGCGGCTACACCATAACTCAGTGGTACATCCAGAACGAGCGACCATTTGGTGGAAGGTGGTTAGGAAGAGGCCGGGAGTGGACTGATAAGCACAAGAACCATACAGTCTGCTAAAATTAGTGTCCAGCAAGATTATGAATGTTCATTTTTGAGCTGGACCATACTGACAGCAAGCTAGAGGGATGGAAGATAGGTTGTTATAACTCACAAAAAAAAACATTAAATAATGCAAAGGCTTTAGGAACATCATAAAAAGGGAATTTGTGAAATACGAATCAATGAACTTGCAAATGCATTTCAGCATTTCAGTGTCTGGAAAATAAAGGTGAATGCCAGAGGTGGGGAGGTAAGCTAAACAATTGAAACAAAGCTTTTTTAAAGCCTCAGAAGGAGGACATCATGACACAGCCAAAAAGTAGTATAGCTGAGAGAGGTGGCCAACAATACAGATGAGAGAAAGAGAGCCTTATCAAGTCTAACAATGTTTTCTATGAAAATAGGTATGTCTCAGTGTATGGTTTCCAACACTAGAGAAGACAAAGAGAAGACACCCTGTGATGACTACATGAAAGAGGGCAGAAGAAAGATTGAGCATCTAATTTCTCGTCCTCTGCCTGATGTTGTTTAAATATCCATCAGGACGTGTGGGAAACTTGGGACCAGGTGGGCTCCTTGCAGTGGTTTGAACAGATGCAAGTGGCACAGCACCTACTTACCCAGGTCATGAACCCTTTCCATGGGACTGGAGCCACAAGAAGAGGTCAGGCAAGCTGGATCCGTGTCTGACATGAGTTAGTGACCAAAGGGATGGAGAGATGGGACCTGCCAGAAGGGCAGGAGGACAGGGGGTCTGGGCCAGGGAGGGTCTGAATGACCATTCAGAGCTTTTGTTCTGGGTTTGGGACTTCTGTTCTGCTGGATGAGCTGGTGGAGAAGAGCGAGAAACCTCAATTAGAAGCAGACTTTGGTTATCAGAATGTGTTTAACACCTGGAGAGGAGTTCATGGGAATGCACTTCAGGGGAGGCCAATCCTTCAAAACAGCCTCTCTGCCTGGATTTCTCCCAGTTTGGTCTTCAATGTCTGTCTTTTGGCTAAGTATAACTCAGCCTCCCATCTTCTCATTAGCCTACTCCCCCACTGGGCCTGTTAGCCTGGCAAATGAAAAAAATTATGGAAAAGAATTTATAAACATGTTCTTGAATAGCTTTGTGGTACATTTGGTGGTCAGCATCCTGGGTCCAGACTTGCTTTCTGCTGCCTGCTGCAGTCAGGATGCTGTTGGAGGGTGGGTGTGGGAATGGGTACCTGAGAGGGGCACGGAAAGGGACGTCGTGATGATGGGTCCAGGGTGAGGAGGTACAGCTTCAAGGGCACACAGCTATGCAGAGCTGATGTGTCAGGTATCTGAGGGCAACTGAGGCAGGACTGGGGGATGGAGAGATGAATTTGTGCTGTGGATGCATCAGGGGAGGCTAAAGCGCAAACCTGGTGCCAGCCAGCCTTTAACTGCTTCCTTTCAGGTATAAGGAAAAGAGCTGGGCATTTCAGCCAAGGGGTAAGGCTGGTTATGGCTTTTGTCCCGAGAGCCTCAGCCACAAAAGGTGAAGCCCAGCTCCAGGGATGCCCCTGTTCCCTCTCAGAGACAGAGCTGGAACCTTGGTTTTCCAGGTTCAATTTCTCACATTTGTCTCCTGTGTGCCTTGTGGGTATTAGACAACCAGGAGTTTGTATTTGTACCAGTTCTGTGGCCTCACGCATTGCCATCTACATCTGGGTTGCCAATTACTCTCTAAAGAGAGCACAGTTTCCCTTTTCCCTTTAGCACCCTGCATAAACTTTCAGACTGAAAGTGCAGCACTGCCTTTACGTTAGCAGAACAGGGTCAGGAACATGGAAATCACCTGGAGAAGTAAGTGCATGACCACAGCTCTGGTCATTACACCTGGTTACAGCCTGGAATGTGGATAATTTTCTGGAAAATGGGAATTTGGAGATCAGGGATGTGATAAATGCAGTGTTGCTCCTATGCAGTTTCTGATCCCTCCGAGAGGATCGCACAGTGATGGACGGTTGGCCGGTGACTCCAGTGGGCCACTCTGTGGGAAAGGGTCTTTGCAGGATAGGAACCGTAGGTGGTCAGTGCTTTGGGTCTGGTGCAGTCTCTGACCACTTGTGTATACTAGTCAGCAGCAGCAGGGCACCCGTCTTTTACTACAGAAGATGAACAAAAATTTATGTAAGTTACATTATCTGCCATCACATTGCCAATCCAATTAGTGTGTTACTATCAGGACAGGAGGCACAAACCCATAAACTTCTCAAATGTTTTTATGCAAAAAGTATTCGGGATTCCTGCCCTGGTGAAAACCTCTGCTTTGCCCCGTATTAAAATTTGGTTTATTTTATAAGAAACTAAAGACTACAATGGCCTTGAAGTTGTATTTGTGGGTTTTGTAGTGGTTAGGTAGTTCTCCGAAGAGGATACTGGAAAGTAAGAGACTTGCTGATGTCATTTTTATTTCACCACCAGTACCCGAAAAAAAAAAAGCTGAGAGAGATGTTGGTGGCCCTATATAAGGTGCACCTCACCTCCTGCAGAGCACATCAAGAATCACAGCAAAGGTAAGGCTTGCAGCCTTTGTGCCTCTCTCACTTTGCCTTGCCCACTCTCCCTGACGCTAACGCTGCTCTCTCTCATCAGTGCCGAGTGCTGTAGCTGCAACCTGCTGGGACGGACGACTTTAGATCGTGAGCCATGGCCTCCCTGCAGACCTTGACCAAGAGCTTCTCAGGATGGGTCTTCTGCTGCTGCTGCTGCTGTCTCCCTCTTCTCCTCACCAGCCCTCTGCCTCCAAAAGGGACAGGGGTGGCTTCTACCGCCCATCATGCCTGCAGGCTCAGGAAGATCAACTTCCAGCAGCCCTACATCAGGAATCGCACCTACACCTTGGCTAAAATGGTACAGTAACCCACGTGTCCTTCATGGCAGGATCTGAGGACCTCCTCCTCTGCCAGTGCCTTGACTTCTTGTCTTC